GTCATTCTCTAAACAATACAGTATAAAACTATGTAATAGCAGTTACATTGTATTAGGTATCATAGGTTTACAAATAATCTAGAGATGATTTAAAGTGTACAGCAGGATATGTATAGTTTATATACAAGTACTATGCCATTTTATATCAGAGACTTGAGTCTCTGCAGATTTGGATGCCTGCAGAGGAGGTCCTAGAAGCAATCCACCATGGATACAGGGACCCCTGTATATGTAATCTCTTGAGTCTTATCCTCTTCAAAGCGATCACTTTGAGAGACTCCAGGCTTTTTAATGATGCTAAGAACATTATCCTGTCTCTGTCTCCCACATCTGTCTGTCCATTTGTCTTTCTGATCATCCATCTTTGCATTCATTCAATGAAACATAAGCGACTGTAGGAATATTCCAGTCATGATGCTACCATTGGAATTCCTTTTCATGCATTGATTCAACTTAATTTGAGCACCTATGATGTACTCTACACAAGGGAAAAACTTCAGAGCCTCCCTTACTTTCATTTGAACCTCATTCGTAGGGGCTTGCCTTATTCTTTCAGAATGGATTTTATTTTAAATTACCAAAAAGTGTCCACATATAAATATAAGTTGATTATTCCAATTAAGATAGTTCCATTTATTTTCAAAGTACAATACTAACTGTAACAAAGCCTTTGTAAATCATATGATGAGGTAAGAAACATGTAAACTGCCAATCAAAATTGCCATTTGGGTCATTTGTTTTTTGAAAACAGAGTTATCCTATTGGAAGCAAGTTTGTCTCATCAAGGAACTAAAAGGGTCTAGCAATAGGAACTTCTAAGATGTTCCTTGTACTATTTTCCAGCATAGTAACTCATAAAATTACTGTGACAAAAACTCTTAAGAACAATTAGACTAATGAAACTAAAATGAGTTTGTTAGGGAAATTTGTTTTTCTATGGGACTTTTTTTTTCTTTTATGTCTTTCAGAAAGTGGTTTTTTCAATATATTTATCAAATAAATATGATCAGCTCTTGCATTCCACATCTGTGGATTCAACCAACTGTAAATCAAAAGCGTTTTAAAAAATTACGTCTCTACTGAACATGAACAAACCTTTTTCCCGTCGTCATTCTCTAAACAATACAGTATAAAACTATGTAATAGCAGTTACATTGTATTAGGTATCATAGGTTTACAAATAATCTAGAGATGATTTAAAGTGTACAGCAGGATATGTATAGTTTATATACAAGTACTATGCCATTTTATATCAGAGACTTGAGTCTCTGCAGATTTGGATGCCTGCAGAGGAGGTCCTAGAAGCAATCCACCATGGATACAGGGACCCCTGTATATGTAATCTCTTGAGTCTTATCCTCTTCAAAGCGATCACTTTGAGAGACTCCAGGCTTTTTAATGATGCTAAGAACATTATCCTGTCTCTGTCTCCCACATCTGTCTGTCCATTTGTCTTTCTGATCATCCATCTTTGCATTCATTCAATGAAACATAAGCGACTGTAGGAATATTCCAGTCATGATGCTACCATTGGAATTCCTTTTCATGCATTGATTCAACTTAATTTGAGCACCTATGATGTACTCTACACAAGGGAAAAACTTCAGAGCCTCCCTTACTTTCATTTGAACCTCATTCGTAGGGGCTTGCCTTATTCTTTCAGAATGGATTTTATTTTAAATTACCAAAAAGTGTCCACATATAAATATAAGTTGATTATTCCAATTAAGATAGTTCCATTTATTTTCAGTTAGAAATAAGATATAACTAGCCAGGCACAATGGCTCATGCCTATAATCCCAGCACTTTCAGAGGCCAAGGAGAGGGGATTGCTTGAGCCTAGGAGTTCAAGACCAGCCTGGGCAACATAGCAAGACCTCATCTCTATTTTTAAAAAAGAAAAAAAAAAGAAATAGGTATAACCAATGAAAGTGGTTTTCTTGCAGATTATCAAAAGACCTCTATATTATTTTCTGCTCATAATCAGCTACCACTCTGAAGGATTCACCCACATTTTGATGGCTTCAGCACCTGGCTTGCAGGGGTTTTTTTCCCTTTGGTGATCAACCTGACCTTATGATACCTTTACTTCTTTAGTGCTAGCACTTTACATCCCTTTCTGCTTTGTTGTATCCCCTTTCTTAACACCATCCCATTTTACCTCATTGTAGACAATACTTACTTTGAATTCTCATTACCCCATGACTTTCAGGGTCTTGACTCCTTTTTTCTAGTCCAGTAGTATCAATTCAATTTTGTAGCCAACCACACCCTTAAGGTCTTCTGTTTTGAATGCTGCTTTGTTTCTGTCCTAAATTCCTTTGTATCTTCAGTCATGCTTAGTCTTGCTATCTGCATCTTTTATCCTTTTTGATGTATCCCTATCTCGGTTCTAGACTACCATACCATGCTCAATTCAGTCAGCTCTGAATTCGTGATCTTTAATTTGGTCCTGCCTTTTTAAAAATACCACTTTGTGTTTTGTTTGTTTGCTTGTTTGTGTTTTTGAGACGGAGTCTTTCTCTGTCACCCAGGCTGGAGTGCAACGGCATGATCTCGGCTCACTGCAAGCTCCGCCTCCCGGGTTCACGCCATTCTGCTGCCTCAGCCTCCCCAGCAGCTGGGACTACAGGTGCCCGCCACCATGCCCAGCTAATTTTTTTTTTTTGGTATCTTTAGTAGAGACGGGGTTTCACCCTGTTAGCCAGGATGATCTCGATCTCCTGACCTCGTGATCCGCCCGCCTCGGCCTTCCAAAGTGCTGGGATTACAGGCGTGAGCCACCACGCCCAGCCAAAAATACCGCTTTGTTTTTATCTACAACATCTGTCAGATTTTATTCTAGTCCCTCAGTTGTTAACTTTGCCTAATAATTACTCAGAGGTCATACTTTTTGTTTTTCTCAAGATTAACTTTTTCGTGTCTCAAGGTTTTTTTTCCTTCAGCCATTAATCTCAAAAAACAGACATGTCCCACTGTTTTTAAGTTAACCCTGTTCGTCATCTCTTGCATTTCCTCCACATCCTTACTTCATTACTTTGGACCTTCAGTTCATCTCTTTCTCTCTACCACATTCATTGTGTCTGCAGATATTTTCAGGCATATTTTTAGGATGAGGAAAATCTGCCTTTACTTTGCATGTTTTCTTGTCATCGTTTTACCATCAACATTTGTAAAGAGTATTCTTTACTAGCCTGTTTGTCATTTTTTGACCCTTTGTGATTTGAGTGTCGCCCACCACCCCCACCTACATGCAGCTAAAGCTGCTCCTTTAAAGGTTATCAGTCATATCCTAACCACTGGATATACTCATTTTTCATTCTTCCTCCTCTATGACTTCTTCAGAGTATTTGACATTTTTGATCACTTACTTTTGGAACTCTTCTCAACTTCTGTTAAACTGTTACCACCGTTTTTCTTCTTTCCTTTTGGCTACTCCTGCTCTATATAATTATCTTTTCTCCCTTCAACTGTTCTTGTCCCCTTATAATCCCTTTCTTGGTACCTTAACCATTCTTAAAGTTTTCTCTTTTACCTTTCAACTGTAAATCCTCTGATTTCAGTGCTGAGTTTCCCTGAGACCCTACTCTGTTTCTAACTAGGATTCAAACCACTTTTACTTCAGTACCCTTTAAGCTCAGTCTTGACTGTTTCAGGGCATCATTTGCATAAACATGGAGCACCAGCTAGAAATAATTTACTATCCCAAGTTTTTGAAACCCATTGAGTTCTGTTGATCTGCCACCATACATTCTAGCTTCCTGAGAGTCCACCTTCTGCAATATTCCAGTCTGCCTCTTCCACTACTATAGTGGTTCTGCACCTATACCCCAGTTTCTCTAAAGCAGACCCTAGCCAACCCTTCCCCTAGTACACTGCTATGAGTAATGTTGTTCTCTTATTCTGTGCCAAACACTTGGCTGCCCTAATGAGGCTTTAATTCTGCCCCTAATTTATAGAGGATTAAATTGGAAAACATTTTTGGCATTACTTAAACCCATGTGTCATTCCATCCTCCTCTCTCCCATTTTCCGTAGGCTCACCAACTGTCTTGCAGAACCTTCAGCCCCATTCTATCCCCAAACATTCCCAACTGACCTAAAGTTACCTTCATAACCTTTTCCTAATTTCTGGTGAGCCCCTGCACTGTCATCACACACATTGAGCTCTTACTCATCATTAACCTTGTCTAGAACTGAAAGCTTCCACTTCTACTCTTCTAAGGGCCTCATAGGTCCCTTTGGTTTTCCCCTACTTCAGGGGCACATTGTTTCCCTCACTACTTCAGGTACCTCCCTCTGAATGGTGCACCCTCACTCCTACTCGGTGTGGACTTTTGTCATAGGTTTGAGTTCTGTATGTTCAGAGGCTTCATTTTCTCAGAGGTTGAGTACCTTTATTCCCAGGCTATGCCAAATCCATTGCGAGAAGACAGGCCCCCAAAATTGATCTATCTTCCCCAATGTATAGATTCTTCATATTCAGTATCTAAAGTAGTTTTTTCTTGTTCTTGATTATTCTCTGGAAGGCTCCTCTCCTTCCCTCTCATTTCACCCTCTGCAAAGTATCTGATCAGCACAGCCAGTCATAGGAATCATTCCTTTCTTTGAGTTCTGTAACATTCGCTCTTCTGCCTCACATGTGTCTCTATTATCTATTTGAGAGAGAAGCTCTTTCTTTGTATTCACCATAGTGCCTATTCTGAGGATATTTTCTTGAAATTAACAGCTAGCCAGAATCTTTATTTTCCCATGCATATATAGTATGCTGGTGATGGTTACCTTGTGTCTGAGGGTAACTGTTGACCTGCTGTGTGGGGTCTGTCAGTGCAAGACAGGGCTAGTGCTTCTCAAACTAGCTTGCATAAGAATCAGCTGGAAAACTTGGGAAAACAGATTTCTGGGCCCCACTGCCAGAGATTGGTTGACTATGTTTGCAGTAAGGCCTTAAACTTTGTGTTTCTAACAAGCTTCTAGGTAGGCTGATGATGCTGGTCCATGGACCACACTTTGAGTAATACTGTGCTAGGCTAATCCTGGCTAATCTTGCCTGGTTTTCTAACACAGGAAAGCTTTCCTTATCAATTTAAAGGGAGGCATAAAAGCTATTACCATTGGCTCTGAAGTTTGATTAGTGGTTTTCTGATCTGTGTATAGGAGAAGCATTGTTTTAATTCTTGAGCTCTGCTTCCCTTAATTTGCTCTCTTTGAAAGTTCTCCTGGTAATTGCAAAGGATTCTTTAAATGTTTCATGTTTATTGAATTAAGCAATGGCATTTATCTCAAGTAGTGTTTACTTCCAGGATCATTCAGATTATCCCCCTCCCCAAACATACTAAGATTAAAATGTAATGAATAATTATTATTCTCCAGCCTGGGTGACAGAGCAAGACTCTGAAACAAAAAATAATTATTTTAACAATTTCTATCATAGCAAAATACATTATCAAATATCTTTTAAATTGTTCTTACTCTTAATAGTTAAAAAATTTTTAATTTGACACTGCATTTTTAACTCAAGCATTTTTTTTTTTTACTAATGGTGAGATACTGATCATCTAAGAAAATTCTCAGGGAAATATGTAATTAGAAAATATACAGGTAAAGTGGAATGTAAGTTAAAATTCTTGAATTAAACAGAGATGACTATCTTCGTCCATTCAGGCTGCTATAACAAAATACCATAGACTGGGTAGCTTATAAACAACAGAAATTTATTTCTCACAGTTCTGGAGGCTGGAAAGTCCACGATCAAGGTGCCGGCAGATTCGGTGTCTGGGTGAGGGCCCATTCCTCATAGTCAGCACCTTCTCACTGCGTCCTCACATGGTGGAAGGGGCACACTGGCTCTCTAGGATCTCTTTTATAAGTGCACTAATCTCATAAGGGCTCTGCCCTTATGACCTAATCACCTCCCAAAGGCCCCACCTCTTATTACCATCACTTTGGGGGTTAAGATTTTAACATGAATTTTGGGGTGACACAGAAATTCAGATTATAGCAATAACCAACAGCATTTTATTATTTAGATCGTGATCTTTTATTCAAAACTAAGAAATTAGGCATTGGCTTGAAATGTGGTCATAAAATTAATATGGCGTTGTATAATAAAATTAATAAAATCTTGTTTGTCTCGTGTTTCTCAAGCTCTCATAGCAACCATCCAGGTAAACGGTTTTGTATTTTCAAGAAGCATTCAGGAACTCTCAGGTAATCATTGATCTTTTTTTTGTTTTTCTTTCCATTAAAATATTGCAGTAACTTTTTAAAACTGATGTTGGAGTGCCTACTTTGGAAATGATAGAGTTCTGTTTATTATATCCTTAGACCAAAGTTGGAGAGATAGCCTATCATTTCTGACTAAACTCTCTGTAGTGTCAAGCATTAAGATGAAACCTTCTTGCATATGCATTTGTAAAATAACAAAAATAAGGTTCTCCAACCATATCTGAATAGAAGGAAGTTTTTCAAAATACCATAATACTTGAAATCAATATATAGCCTTCATAATTCTTAATGTTTTTAGAATTAAGGTATATAACTTGTTTACAGAAAAAAGTACTGATAAATATTTCTAAAGGCATTGATAATTACCATTGGTTACACCACACACACTTAGCTCAGAATCCACTAAAACATCTATTTTTTTACGTTATTTTGATATCTTTTTGACTCCATCTTCCTTTGTTAATTATTTTGCTCATGTTGACAGATGTTTGCCAGGCACATAGTACCTGGCACATAGTAGGCACTTGGTAAATATTTGTTGAATAAGTTAATGTATATGTTGAAAATGAATTATGTGGATAATGTTGGACCAAGAGCTCACAGAGGAAATTTTTATTGTATTTTTAAAACATACTCGTGTTAGGCCGGGTACGGTGGCTCACACCTGTAAACCTAGCACTTTGGGAGGCCGAGGCGGGTGGATTACCTGAGGTCAGGAGTTCGAGACCAGCCTGGCCAACATGGCGAAACCCTGTCTCTACTAAAAATACCAAAATTAGCCGGGCATGGTGGCTATAATCCCAGCTACTTGGGAGACTGAGGCAGGAGAATCACTTGAACCCGGAGGGCAGAGGTTGCAGTGAGCCAAGATTGCGCCACTATACCCCAGCATGGGTGACAGAGTGAGACTCAGTCTCAGAAAATTTTTTTAAAAATCTGTGTATGGACATAGCATTTTATATTTCTATAAACAATTTTTTCATAATTACTATTTTGTTAAAATGAAATATTCATTCTTTAGCTATTTATTGTGCACCTATCTTTTTTTGAGACTGAGTCTGGCTCTGTCGCCCAGGCTGGAGTGCAGTGGCCGGATCTCAGCTCACTGCAAGCTCCGCCTCCCGGGTTTACGCCATTCTCCTGCCTCAGCCTCCCGAGTAGCTGGGACCACAGGCGCCCGCCACTTCGCCCGGCTAGTTTTTTGTATTTTTTAGTAGAGATGGGGTTTCACCGTGTTAGCCAGGAGGTCTCGATCTCCTGACCTCGTGATCCGCCCGTCTCGGCCTCCCAAAGTGCTGGGATTACAGGCTTGAGCCACCGCGCCCGGCCTATGCTATTTTTAAAACATTGAATTCGAGGAATTAGAAAAGAGTAAAATATATTAGGTATTACCTTTACTGAAAAATGCTTTGTAAGAATGAAAAGAGATTTAATTCTAAAAATGAGATTTCCCTTTGATTTTTACCACGTGATGGTCAAGCTCAATTGTATGCTTAGTTTTTAAATGAACTGTATGATTTGAAAGATCTGAGGTGCTTTTTTTTTCAACTCGAGTGGATCTCACATCTAAATAGAAAATTGGTCAAATTCTGTGTATGGGCCAGGTGCAGTGGCTCCCACCTGTATTCCCAGCACTTTGGGAGGCCAAGGCGGGTGGATCACTTGAGGCCAGGAGTTCAGGATCAGCCTGGCCAACATGGCGAAACTCCATCTCTACTAAAAATACAAAAATTCGCCTGGCATGGTGGTGCATGCCTGTCATCCCAGCTACTCGGGAGGCTGAGGCACGAGAATTGCTTGAACCTGGAAGGCAGAGGTTGCAGTGAGCCAAGATTGCGCCACTATACCCCAGCATGGGTGACAGAGTGAGACTCAGTCTCAGAAAATTTTTTTAAAAATCTGTGTATGGACATAGCATTTTATATTTCTATAAACAATTTTTTCATAATTACTATTTTGTTAAAATGAAATATTCATTCTTTAGCTATTTATTGTGCACCTATCATGTATAACACAATGTAGCAAGTCCTATACAGATGACCATGATGAAGAAGAAGGCTTGTACCAACCGTCAAGGAATGTACAATTTATTAAAGGGATAAAAGGTGTGAACATAAATAACTACAGTAATACAAAGAGGTTCCTAGTAAGTGCAATAAGAGATCCTGATTTCAAAGGGGAGAGAGGTTTCTACTTAAAAGAAGAGGCACAGGGGCATTCTAGTTGGAAGAAATAACATTAATAAAAGTTCAGAAAGGAAAAAACAGAAACTACACATTCTTCTGAATCACAATGGAGTAATTTTGGAGTAACTAGGAGTAAAATTTGGATGAAGCACGAAGTTCATATAGCATAGTATTATACTAAGATCAAAGTTGGCCGGGCGCAGTGACTCAAGCCTGTAATCCCAGCACTTTGGGAGGCTGAGGTGGGTGGATCACCTGAGGTCAGGAGTTCAAGACCAACCTAGCCAACATGGCAAAACCCTATCTCTACTAAAAATAGAAAAAAATTAGCCGGGCGTGGTGGTGTGCACCTGTAATCGCAGCTACTCGGAGGCTGAGGCAAGAGAATCGCTTGAACCCAGGAGGTGGAAGTTGCAGTGAGCCGAGATCGCGCCCCTGCACTCCAGGCTGGGCGACAGAGTGGGGCTCCATTCCAAAAATAAAAAAAGATCAGTCTGGGGAGATAGTCTTGAACTTAGATCCAGATTGTTGAATCCTTGAAAACAAGGCCTAGGGAGTTTGGGCTTAATTTTCATTTGGAAGACATTGGGGGGGAAGCCATTGATGTTTTGAGTAGAATCAAGGGTGCTGAAGGAAGATCACTTTGGAGGAGTATACAAGATGAGTTGTAGCTGCATGAGACACATAGACTGGTTAAGGCTATTGTAGTGGTTAAGACTTACTTAATAAAGCCCTGGGCTAAGGTGGTGGAGTGGTATCACATCGTGTTTAAGAGCATGGGCTTCAGAATCAAAGGGCTCCATTTCCAACCTGTTCCTGGCCTCAGTAGATTACTGAAACTAATTCTGTCCTCTGTAAAAGGGTAATAATTATAGCACCTATCTCTTTGGGTTGCCATGAGATTTAGATCAGACAATATGTCTAAAACCCTCAGACTGGCATAGAGTAAGTACTCAATAAATTGTTAATATCATAAAATGTTTGAAATACTGAATGTTTTATGTAAGAAGAGAGTCAGAGATAACTAGAAATTTGAGCCCCAGTATTAGGGAAATGGCATCATAAGAGAGACTTTTCCGCCTAAATTTCATGGGGAAAGCACATGATTCCAGTTTTATGAAGATAGTTTTTGATGTGCAGGAGTTCTGGCTAGGTGTAAATCCACAACAGGTTGTTAAAACTAGAGAAGTCAATGCAAGGTATGCCACTGGTTTCCTATACAGGTGAAATATTTAAGTTTAAAGTATCTGATGAACTTCAAAAGTATATGTATGCTTTGTTAATAAACTGGTGATGATAATTACATGATTTTAAAACCTTCACATTTCTTTTCTAATTTTATCCTCATTTGACTAAGATATTAGATTGCAGAATCCACAGACTGTACCTTTTTTGGTTACTGTTGTATCCACAATACCTAGTAGTACAGTGTGGGTGAAGAAGGTTCTCAGCAAATGTATATTTATATATTTCAGTGAATGAATATTACATCCTTGCTTTGCAAGTAATAACTTGCACACATTACTTAAGTTGTTAAGGGAGACTGGGCTTTCAGTCAGTCTCTTGATGCCTAGCTTTCAGCTAGGCACAAGTTGAGAGGTGACAATTTATAAAGCACTAAATGTTAGCATAATTTGAATATGGCCATGCCATTTTCTTTTCCTTTTTTTTTTTTTTTTTTTGCGACGGAGTCTGACTGTCACCCAGGCTGGAGTGCAGTGGCACAATCTTGGCTCACTGTAACCTCTGCCTCTTGGGTTCAAGCAATTCTCCTGTCTCAGCCTCCAGAGTAGCTGGGGCTACAGACGCACGCCATGATGCCTAGCTAATTTTTGTATTTTTAGTAGAGACGAGGTTTCACCATACTGGTCAGGCTGGTCTCGAACTCCTGACCTCAGGTGATCGATGCCCCTCGGCCTCCCAAAGCGCTGGGATTATAGGCGTGAGCCACTGTGCCCGGCCAGCAATGCCATTTTCTGGAGAACCATTTTAGATATATCAAGTTCATATAACAAAGTTGGAAAATGATGGTTGTGGAGACTAAAATGCAAATCAAGTTAGTACATGGAAAAATAATTATTGAGCTCATAATATAATTATGGATTTTCATAAATGATAATATTTTTTACTGTCTTCTTTTTTTTCATAGGGGCATTACTCTAGTGTGCCTTAAATGTGATTTCCTAGCTGATTCTTCTGGCTTAGATCGCATGGCTAAACACTTAAGTCAACGTAAAACTCATACTTGCCAAGTTATAATAGAGAATGGTATGTATATATAATTGTGTTTCTTTGATTTTCTGATACTTATTTCAGTATTTTTGATCAGACACCATATGGACCCATGTATTACATTGATAGTCTCACTCTTCATATACACTATTGTAAATGTAAAACTTTTTTGATTTCAGTTTCCGAAAGTACCTCAACTTCTGAACCCATTTCTGGGTAAGTTTAATTTTCCTTCGGTGCGGTTTGCTTTGATGGACTTTAGCACTGTTGTATTATTTTAATGTATCATTAATATAAATGAAAAATTTTAAAGTTGTTTTTGTTTTTGTTTTTAAAGCTGCTCATTGAAATAGATTCCTGCTCCATGGAGTTCGTGCAACCTGGTGCAAGACAAGTTGGAAGTTCCTAAGTTCAAAGTTCTGAAGTGTTTTCTCACACAAAAGGCAGTTAAACAGCCAAGTTCATGACACTAGCTCTCATTCAGCTCTTTTCAGCTTTCAGATGCCACTAGATTCTCACTCCACCTTATCTTTGTGTCAGGTTAACATACCTTAACACATTTTTTTCTCCAATTGGCTCTCTCCAAAAATACCTTTTGTTTTTCTCTGCTGTACTTGACTTGCCTTCATAATACTACATTCCAGATAATATGACTGTTCATCTTTTTCTGTCTGTTTTGTCTGCTTTCTTAATTTCTTATAAGTCTTACATGTTTAGGTCAGATAGCCATTTTTTCTTCATTCCTTGTTCATTACTGTTCTGTTTTTCATATTTTTCAAATGAAGAAGCAACGCATAAGTTTCAAAAAATATCCAGGGTACTCCTGGACAGTGTCCCCTTTTGATGGACACGACTGATGCCTGTTCTTTCTTTCCAAGAAATGTGAATTATTTGACTGTGAGACCTCCTCTAGTTTGTGGCCTTAAGAGATCAGATCTTGGGGAGAGTCCCTTCCTACCTGACTGACCTCCCATAAGGTTGATGCTGATTTGGCCAGAGATGACCTCAAGGCCCACCAAATAGAGCACAACTTCCCACTGGGGGCTTTGGCTTTTGATCTTAAGCTTATGGGTCGATTCTAACCAAGAAAAGTCCATGAGATCACTGCTTCAACATCCAGGTTGACGTTTAACCATTTTGACTGCTGCTCTTTAATCTTACTCTAGCAGGCATGCAGTCCAAGGAATATAAAAATTCTTGTTGTGTGGGAACCAAGGTTACTTTCCCGTTCTTGGAAAAAGAAAATTTCTACAATTACAGTTCCCAAAGTCACAGTTCATGTTATTTAAAGTTTTATCCAGTATTCTAGGAATTTTCAGCAATACTAATATTCACGTTTTTAAACATTTTTTACATTTTGTTTTATTTTGGTAGCTTGGTTTTATATTGTTTTTAGATCAGTGCTTCAACATCCAGGTTGACGTTTAACCATTTTGGCTGCTGCTCTTTAATCTTCCTCTAGCAGACATGCAGTCCAAGGAATATCAAAATTCTGGTTGTATTGGGAACCAAGGTTACTTTCTTGTTTTTGGAAAAACAAAATTTCTACAGTTACGGTTCACAAAGTCAGTTATTCATGTTTTCATTTAAAGTTTTATCCAGTGTTATAGGAATTTTCAGCAATACTGATATTCTTTTTTTTTTTTTTTTTTTTTTTTGTAGACGGAGCCTTGCTCTGTGTCCCAGGCTGGAGTGTGCAGTGGCGTGATTTTGGCTCACTGCAAGCTCTGCCTCCTGGGTTCACGCCATTCTGCCTCAGCCTCCCAAGTACCTGGGATGACAGGCACCCGCCACCACGCCCAGCTAATTTTTAATTTTTTGTATTTTTAGTAGAGTCGGGGTTTCACCGTGTTCACCAGGATGGTCCCGATCTCCTGACCTTGTGATCTGCCCGCCTCGGCCTCCCAAAGTGCTGGGATTATAGGCATGAGACACCGCACCCGGCCAATATTCACATTTTTAAACATTTTTTTTTATTTTACTTTGGTAGCTTGGTTTTATATTGTTCTTAATCAAATTTATTTTACTCTATTTTGTTTTTCTGTCACTTCTTTGTCCCAGATTCATGAAATTTGCTGATGTCCATTTTATGTCTACTTTTGAATTATTTGTGTTTGTTTTGTTTTTATTTCAAACTCCCAAGACGTTTCTTAGAATTGTCTACAGATTTCGTGTAGCTACTTACTGGTAGCTTCTTAATTTCATACTTGTCCAGACCATTAGACATTATTACATGCTCTATCTTGGGCCTATCATTAACATTAGCTTAGGGATTCTGATTTCAAAGACATAAAGAATTGGCAAAGCTCTTCTTACAGACCTTAAAACAAGTTTTAAAGGTACATTTCTGTTCATCTAATACATAATATCTTCTTAGCCATTAATGTAATTCCTCTGGATAAAGATAATATATTCAAAAAATATTGGGACCAAAAAATGCACTTGTTTCTTGCTCATATATATATAGATGTATATTTTTTTTAATTTGTTGTTTGTTTATTTTGGTTACATTGAATATAGATTTGCTGAACAGTTTTGATGTTATTTTTTTAATAAAATTTGTATTGTTAAAGTGCCTTGGAAATTTCTAATAAATAACTTCATATAAAAGCTATCATACAACTATAGGAGCATTGCTTTGCTCCTAGTTCCGTGGAGCCTGATTGCTTGACCCGCAGACTGAAAGCTTTATCTACTGAGCACATCTTGCACTTTTTCCTCCAGCACAGTTAAAAGCAAACTATTTATACTTTACTAATGTCTTGAGCAGCTAGCAAAAGCCCCCTTTGTGATCTTAATAATCGTGAAGGTGGGTAGGCTCTGAAGTCGTTTGACTCAATGTGGGTGTTTTTTAACTCCAAAATTAGAACTGGACTGGATACAGTGGCTCATGCCAGTAATCCCCAACACTTTGAGAGGCTGAGGTGGGAGCCAGGAGTTTAAGACCAGCCAGGGCAACATACCAACACTCTTGTCTCTACCACAAAAAATATATTAGCTGGGTGTGGTGGCATATACCTATAGTCCTAGCTACTCAGGAGGCTGAGGCAGGAGGATCGCTTGAGCCCAGGGGTTCAAGGCTGCAGTGAACTATGATCATGCCACTGCATTCCAGCCTAAGCCAGAGAGCAAGACCCTGTCTTTTTAAAAAAAAAAAAAAAATCAAAACTGCTTTGATGATATACTTTGAAACATTGAAAGCCAGTGTCAGTGGCCACTGCCATGTAGTATACTCCTTGTAATTCATAGGAGTTGAATCGATTAATTTTAATTTTCCGAACAGATTTCTGCTGTAAGTGATTTTCCCAAATCTCCAAAAGGGGCTTATGTCATAGTCGTGGACTTGGTGATACTCTGTTCTTTCTTTCCATACCTGTCTCTAGAATGTTTTGTCAAACACCATTTTCCTACCCATTATTTTTTATTGTGGTAAAATACATGTAGTATAAAATTTGCCATTTAAAACCATTTTCCATTCAGCATTAATGACACCTAACTTTAAGTTTTAAACTTTTTCCCAGAAATGGCAACTTACTTGCATTTTTAGCATTGGTCCTCTTTTAATTTACAGATATTTTCTGTCTCTGACAGTTCAAAAATACAAAAAACCACATTCTTGCTATAGCAGTATTTTAGGTAGAGGTACAGCTTTGTTCTTCCATAGGATTTTATTATACTATATATCAGGTTATTTTTCTTAAAATTTAATGCTCTGGAAGTTATGTGTCCCATAGCATCACTTTTTTTTTTCTTTTACTTTGTTTAAAGAAAACGATTTATGCAGTCAGTGCTAAGCTTACTTGTTATAAGCAGTTGAGTTTTAATAGGTGTTAATGAGTTTTAGCTTGACAATCTGATCCCTCTTTACCTTGAGGCTGTTAGAGTTATTTCACCTGATTCAGAAATAGCCATCTCATGCATGTGTCCTTTTTTGTTTTCAACTGAATAAAAGGTATGATTGGATCAGTTTCAGTCCATCACCATTATTATTTAAAAAAAAAAAAAAAACAATGACAAAGACTTAGATTCTTGCCCTTCTTTTTGTCACATTTTGGCAAAACACCTCTTTCAGTTTTTTTGTTTTTTTTTTTTTTTTTTTTGGAGACAGAGTCTCGCTCTGTGGCCCAGGCTGGAGTTCAATGGCATGATCTCAGCTCACTGCAAGCTCTGCCTCCCGGGTAGCTGGGACTACAGGCACTTGCCACCACGCCCAGCTAATTTTTTGTTTTTAGTAGAGACGGGATTTCACCATGTTAGCCAGGGTGGTCTCGATCTCCTGACCTTGTGATCCGCCCACCTCAGCCTTCCAAAGTGCTGGGATTACAGGCGTGAGCCACTGTGCCAGCCCCTCGGTCTCATTTATTCAGTAAATATTTATTACCTACTATGTGCCTGGCACTGTTCTAGTTGTTGGAAATACAAACTGAAATCTCTGGCTTCTTGGGACTTAGATTTCAGTTGTGGGAGACAGACAATAGAAAATAAAAACTTATAGTATGTTAATGGTGATGAAGACTATGGAGAAAAATAGGGAAGGGAGATAGCAATGTATAGGTTGGTGGTTGGGAGGTTGCCATTTTAAATTTGATGGTTTAAAGGCCAAGTTGGGCCTTCTTGAGAAGATGGCATTTGAGTAAATGGCCAAGAAGGCCAAGTTGGGCCTTCTTGAGAAGATGGCATTTGAGTAAAGACCTGAAGGAGGTAAGGAAGTGAGCCACCTGGGTATCTGTCAGAGGAGCTTTCTAGAGAGGGGAAACAAGTGCAAAAGCCCTGAAGCAGAAATTGGAACCCTCATGTATTGCTGGTGGCAATGTAAAATGGTCCAGCCACTATGAAGAACAGTTTGACAGTTCCTCAAAAGGGTTAAGTGTAGAATTACCATGTGACCCAGCAATTTCACTCCTATATACTCAGTCGAAAGCAGAGACTCAAATACTTGGACATGCATGTTCATAGCAGCACTATTCACAATAGCCGAAAGATAGAAATTGTCTAAATGTCACCCACAGATAAAGGGATAAAATATGGTGTGTTGCCAGGCACGGTGGCTCATGCCTGTAATCCCAGCACTTTGGGAGGCCGACGAAGGCGGATCACCTGAGGTCAGGAGTTTGAGACCAGCCTGGGCAACATGGCAAAACCCCGTCACTACTAAAAATACAAAAATTAGCTGGGTGTGGTGGTGGGCGCCTGAAGTGCTGGGAAGGCTGGGAAGTACTGAAGTACTGGGAAGGCTGAGACACAAGAATCACTTGAACCCAGGAGGCAGAGGTTGCAGTGAGCTGAGAGCACACCACTGCACTCTAGCCTGGGTGACAAAGCAAGACTCTGTCTCAAAAACAAAAGTATGGTGTGTCCATACAATGGAATATTTTTCAGCCACAAAAAAGAACGAAGTACTGATACTTGCTACAATGTGTATGGACCTCTTAAACAAGTGAAAGAAATCAGTCACAAAAGGTCATATGTTGTATGGTTCCATTTATATGAAATATTCACACAGGCACGGAAAACCAAATACCACATGTTCTCAGAGCTAAAAATGAGAACTCATGAACACGAAGGGAACAACAACAGACACTGTCGAGGGTGTTCATGAACCACTTCTAAGGTGGAATATGTAACTGGAGGCTAGCAATAATCATTTCCATGCCAGGCGCTGCAGCTCATGCCTGTAATTCCAGCATTTTGGGAGGCCGCGGCGGGTGGATCATGAGACCAGGAGTTTGAGACCAGCCTGGCCAACATGGCAAAAACCTGTCTCTACTAAAAAATACAAAA